GCAATCAGATACATCACATTTTCCCATGAAAGGAATTTCTGATGGGTTTATTAACCTTTGAAAATACCAATTCTTAGTCCGAGGGACTTCCCGAGTCCAGATCAAATTGAAAAATAACCTAGTGACAGACCACCCGGTTCTGAGCTGATGGGAATTACTTTCAACCCAGGCCAGCATGTCCTTTAGATGAAATGTTCCACATACCAAGCCTGACAGCAGCCAGCTCTTGGGAGCAGGGGAGCCAAGTGCCATCTATTACAGAACATATCCACGATCGCTGTGTCATGGGGCCATTGCTCTGGGCCCAAGTCCCTGTGGGCGCAGCTGGGGTGGCAGGAAGCAGCCAGCGTCAGTGCCTTTGACATTTAGATCCCTGTGCTATAGGACAGAGGGTCTGCCTGTCATCACAGAGTGATGTAGCCTTGGCCCCTGGCAATCATTTCCTGTTTCAAGTGTTCAGTTTGGTGTAGGATTGTAGCGCAATGGATGCTATCAGAAGAAAAAGGACAGAGTGTCACGTGGAAAATTGTTGATAAACTGATAACTCCAGGGTTAGAGGAACTGACTCATCCGCCCCCACTGTCTCGTGGTGGAGGACAGTCTCCCTCCTTCTCTCTTTTGGGCCACATTCTGGCTCAGAAGTCAAACTATGTAATTTCTGGAACTGTCGGTGTTTTTCTTCACCCCATAGAACACATGTGGAACAGAGCTTTTCTATCATAAGAGCTGTCAGGTACCTCAGAGTTCAGCCTTGTCACTGTGTGGAATAAATTGGGTGCTCATGCATAAGACCCTTAACTTCAGAGCCTCAGTTTATGCATATAAAAGATGGGAATATCAGTGCCTACCCTGTCTGTCTCACCCATTTGCCATGAAGACCAACAGGGCTGATGAGAAGACAGTGCACTCTGAGTGAGAGCGAAGGGGCTTGGGCCATCATATCTTCAGCCATTCCCACCATCGTTCAAGGAGTTTTTGCTCAGACACACCCTCACACAGGCTTCCAGGAATGTCTTCAAATGTTTCCTCTCTTTCTCTGGAATTATCTCCTCTTCTGCACTGCTACTGACTGTCCCACTGCTCAGTGGGCTGCATCCCAGCCATATGCCCAGCCCCGGCAGATACTTCAAACTGCTCATTCCTGTGGTTCCCAACACAACCGTACCTCTTCTCGACCAATGATTTTGCTTTCCAATGCTCAGAAAAAGAGGGACAGAGAGGCAGGAAGGCTCTCTGATTCTCTCCCCCAAACATATCCACTCTAACCATCCTTAACTCCTGGCCTCCTGGTGCAAAGGCTCCTTGCATCTACTACCAATGCCTCCACTTAGAATCTTCCTCCCCTGAAGCTTCCTCAGGGATCCACAACATCACTCGTCCCTTCTCATTACTGGACCTTTGCTTTTTTCCTTGCTACCAGTCCCTTCTCAGCACACACAAAGGGGAATTTCGGCCATGGAATTTGTGTCTCTGTGGGAACATGTAAGAGGTTTGGACTTTGAATAGGGGGCAGAAGAATAAAAACTCTGGGTGAAGACAAAAGTGGGGTGGATGTGGACCTTTCAGGAGGCCTCAAGGATAGAGAATTGAAGACTATATAGAAGTCACATGAGTGTGGTTGCTGGAGACTGCAGGGGTTCTTGCATTGTCCAGACTGTCACCTTTCTTCCTTGGGCTCTGTTCTTCCTCTCTCCATTCCTCTCCCTGACTTTTATGCCCAAATCCCATCTTGAATTCTAAAAGCTCGGGATAAAATCAATGTCTTTTAAAAAACACAAGTCCAGACCCTGTTAAATCACTGAGAGTGGGATAAGGCACTCCCCACTGAGGCATCACTATGCTTTTGTTTTACAAATAATAGAAAACCATCCTTGCTCCACAGAGCTGTTGAAGATATGACCTAATGAATCCTAACAGTAGCTGCAGCCAGATAGCCTTGGGACTGTCAATCAGACGGTCAACCCTCCCCAACCCCCAGTGGTGAACAGGATCCCACCCAGGCCAATCAGCCTCTCTCACCAGGAACTTAGATTGGATGGAAGGCAGAGAGTTGGAACCAAGCCATTAGGACAGCAACCTCCTGGAGAGATCTCTTGAGTTCCTGCCTCTGGGGTTCTTGGAGCTGCCATCTTTCAAGTCCTTCTTGAGGCTTGGCTGTTGAGCTTTTTCTTAAATTCTGTGAGATATTCAGTATCCTTCCAATTACTTCCATTTCAGTTTTACTCAGGAAAGATTTGTTTCTTGCAACCAAAGTACCTCTGAATACCATCCTCAGAAAGTAACTGACTTGGGCACTGTGGCTCATGCCTGTAATTCCAGCACTTTGGCAGGCTGAGGTGGGCAGATCACTTGAGCCCAGGAGTTCAAGACCAGCCTGGACAACACAAAAATTAGCTGGGCATGGTGGTATGCACCTGTAGTCTTAGCTACTTGGGAGGCTAAGGTGGGAGGATTGCTTGAGTCCAGGAGGCAGAGGTTGCAGTTAGCTGAGATCATGCTAATGCACTCCAGCCATGGTGACAAAGTAAGAAAGACTCTGTCTCAGAAGAAAAAAAAAGGAAAAGAAAAAAACAAAGTAACTGACTTGCCACCACACAACCTTCTCACACCATCTTTATGAAACACCAGACATCAGATCCTGAAAGTACTTTATTCTCAAAGTCTACAAGATAAGTATTGTCATTATGCCCGTTTTGCAGGTGAGGTACTGAGGCTCTGAAAAATGTGGCCATCTGTCCAAGGTTATAGCTTAAACCAGGAATCTTGGTTCCTCCATGTCAGTAAAACTCACTGTACCCCAAGTAAAAGACGTCATTGAAAGGAAAGTGGGAGGCTCTCCGGCCAACACAGCACCTTTCTCCATCTCTCTCCACACATATTCTCCCATCTCTGCTTCTGAGGATCTGCTCCATTTTCCTGCCTTCCTCTGAAGAGTGGCTTTTCCCTGCTCATTCATCAGTAGGCACATTGCTGAAAAAGGCTGCTTCAGCCCAAATCCTAAATACTTAGTTATTCACTTCAAGCTTCCACCATCAACGAGTCTATGTCTCGTAGCTTGAATTACTAAGAAAAAAATTGCTTGGTGCCTGGTCATCTGGGGTAGGCTGAAGAATGTCCTCCTACTTCCTCCCAAGTATACCTGCACTCTAATCCGTGGAACTTGTGGATGTTACCTTATATGGAAACATGGTCTTTGCAGATGTGATTAAGTTAAAGATTTTAAAATGGAGATTATCTTGGATTATCAGGGTGGGCCTTAAATGCAATCACATACAGCCTTATAAGAAGAAAACAAAGGACGATTTGGCACAAATAGAAGAAGAGAAGCTGATGTGAAGATGGAGGCAGAGATTGAAATGATGCAGCCACAGGCAAAGGAATGCTTACAGTCATCAGAAATTGGAAGAGACAAGGGGCAGATTCTTCCCCAGAGATAGACTCTAAAGGGAGCAGAGCTCCCTTAATCTCAGCCCAGTAATACTGATTTCAGATTTCTCATGCAGAATTGTGAGAGAATACATTTCTGTTATTTTAAACCATAATATTTATGGTAGTTTGTTACAGCAGTCACAGGAAACTAATGCTAATACAGCAGCCAATGGATTCATTCATACTGCACTAAGTGTCCAATCAGCTGTGTCCAGGAGGATGTTTACAGGAAAAACATAGCCACTGAGGCCTGCTCTCTCAGCTTTGGGAAGAAAGTAGAGGGTTGATTTTCAGAGAAAAGGCATGGGCTGGGAGACACCTGCATTCATTCTACCACTAGTCTCTGACACCTGCTATCATGTGTAAGCATTGGGATGTGCAGGGCAGCAGACTTGCCTAAATAGGCACCAAACCTAGTGCTCTCCCTTCCCCTCCCAAATAGGGAATGAGTTCATAAACAGCATGGTTAATGTTAATGCTGACTTGCGGGAAAATAGGTGAGGCTGGAAGGTGAGTCTATTCATTCAGCTAATTCAAACAAGAGTTTACTAACACCCTGTTTTGCCAGGCCTTGGGATAAGTGCTTAGCACAGGCACCAATCTATAGTCTAGAGAAAGATAAGACCTGCACATCCTGGATAGTTGGAAAAAATATAAAGAATCATTTAATCATTCATTTATTCAACAAAAGTTTACTGTGCACATAGATGTACTAGGCTAGGTGATATTGCAATAAAATATGTAGAGTCACTGTCTTCATGGGGTGAGAAAAAGAAATAAGCAGATAAATAGCAAAATAACAGATTGTAAAATGGGCTATAAAGGAAAGGAGTAAGTAATGAGACAGAGAATCAGGTGTATGAATTGGCAGTGGCAAGTGGTGGTGGTGGTAATCGGGGCTTGGAATCAGAAGTTAGATTTAGGGTGCGTGTGAGCAGTGTGGATGGAGAAATTTAAAAAGTAGTTGGATTTAAACCTGAGGATGGGGGAGAAGTTTTGAGCAGGAAGTGTAATACATAAATTATTTATTTATTTGAGACAGAGCCTCATTCTGTCACCCAGGCTAGAGTGTTTGTTTGTTTGTTTATTTGAGATGGAGTCTTTCTTTGTCACCCGGGCTGGAGTGTAATGGCATGATCTTGGCTCACTGCAACCTTTGTCTCCTGGGTTCAAGCGATTCTCCTGCCTCAGCCTCCCGAGTAGCTGGGATTACAGGCACCCACCAGCATGCCTGGCTAATTTTTGTATTTTTAGTAGAGACGCGGTTTCACCACGTTGGCCAGGCTGATCTCGAACTCCTGACCTCAGGTGATCCTCCCGCCTTGGCCTCCCAAACTGCTGGGATTACAGGCATGAGCCACCACGCCTGGTCGGAAATTTGTTACTTAGAACGGTGGAAACGGGTAGGAAAAGAGCATATAGGGAAAAAGGTGTAAGTTTTAACTTTATGCATAGGGAAGGACATAAACACCATCTGCTTGTGAATAAGTGGTTTAGAAGAAACAATCTACAAGGGCCCGGAAGACTTCCGGCCCTCTCCGCCTTTAACTAGACTACATTTCCCAGAATGCTGCAAGAACCGGGCGTGACTCGGAAATCCCTCCCAGCCACCTCCGGCGCAAGTGGCCGCTGATAATCATGGCGCCCCTCAGAACCACTATGTCGCTGTGGAACCTCCTGAGGGGTTCTCCAGGCGTGAAAAGGGTCTGTTTCCGGGCTCGAATCCAGCCCTGGCACGGTGGCCTGCTCCAACCGCTACCTTGCTCTTTCGAGGTGGGGCTGCCACGCTGCCGGTTCAGCTCCGAGGCCGGTAAGTGACCTTCCGGACTTTCGCTGGGGCGTTCTTCTGGGAGACGTAGATCCTGTTTCTGGCAGGCGAAAACCACGCGGTAGCCTCTGCGACACGTATCGTAGCGCTTTCTCAGATTCAGCTGTCTTCCTTCTGTACCTGTGGAGTTTGTCCTCACCTGCATACCTGTTCATTCGTTCACTCACTCAGCTACAGTGCCTGAGTTCCGCTCCTTGCAGAGTACTGTGCTAAGCCCCGTGGGATATGACAAACTAAGACTGACACAGACCTTTCCCTATGGGAACTCATGTCCATGGGGAATTGGCAGTGCAGTGTGACCCAGGCTGTGATAGGGGACGCACACAGGAGAGGCACTCAAACTAGGTTGGAAGGTCAGGGAAGGGTTCCTGGCAAATATGACCAAAGCGAGTGCTGGTTAGCCACGCTAAGGAGAAGGCAAGAAGCTTCTCAAGCATAAGAGACAATAGCAGATGTCCAGAAATGAGACTGAGCACAGATATTTGGGAACCCATTTTGGAGGTAGGATTGATAAAGCTTGATTGAGGCTTTGGATATGAGTTTAAAGGGACAAATTAGGATTGTTTCTTAAGTTTTTGACTGGAATAGAGGTTTGTCCCATTTACACCAAGATGGAGAAGATTAATTGTTGGAACCGTTATTTTGGGGCGGGGGGTAGTGCAGGAGTAGATGAGATCAGGAGATGGGAAAGGAGGCAGAATTAAACCTATTTGGGGCACATTAAATTTGAGGTGACTTTGAGAGCCATCTGTTCAGTATGGAGTTAGATATAAAGTGAGGAACATCGGAGTAAAAATGGTAACTAAAGCTGAGCGAATGGGTGAGACTGAGGAGAGAGTAGTGTTGAGCACCTGCTGTGTGCTGGATACCCTAAGGAACTCTGGGTGCCAGAGATGAGTATTACACAAGGTTCTGGTCTTCACAGAGCACATCACTTAGTGAGAGACATAGTGTAAGTAAGCAGACCACCTTAACATGTTTTCTAAATGATGTTGGAAGCCATTCGTGAATTTTAAGCTTGGAAGTACTCTTGATTACATTTTAAAGAGATTACTCTGGTTGCTCTGTGGAGAATGATCTGTAGTGGGGCCAGAATGGAGAAAGGGAGGCTGATGCAAGAGATGAGGATGGCCTTGACTAGAGTAGTAGCAGTGGAAAATGGAGGATTAAAATGAGATTTATGAAGGCAAACAATCAGTATATTCTCTGCCAGTGTTTTTGTTTTGTTTTGTTTTGTTTTTTTGTAAAATGGGGATAATCGTAGTGTTACCTCATGGGTTGTTGTATTAAATGGGTTGAATGTGTAAAGTACTTAGTTCAGTCAGTATTGGCATGTAGTAAATAGCTAATAAATGGTAGCTCTTATAATTACTGTTATTATTACTACAGCTATTTGATTACTATTGTTATTACTACTGCTATTGGCTAGATCTGGAGGATCAGGGAGAATTTAGGAATGACTAAGATTTCTGGCCTTTATGACCTACTGGATGATGCTGAAATAGGGAACAGTAGAAAATGCAGGTTTGAGACAAGGGAAAGTTGATGGGTTCTGACTTGGCAGTATTCAAGTACATGAGAGAGCTTGGGTAATTGGATGGAAGGTGATCTTCGCTGGAGATTCAGATTTTAGAGTTTCTGGCATATAAAGGTAATTGAAGTCATGGGAGGATAGGAGAAATCATCGAGTAGGAATCTGAGAAGGGAGAAAAGGACATCGTTCAGAATCTGTAGGGATACCAACATTTGTAGGACTGGGAGAGGAAGAGGTGACTAGGAACAAATGACTTTTTCTTTCTTTTTTGCTAATGGAAATGGAAGTAGAAGTTAGGCAAAGCAGTAGGCAAACTGCATGAGGCAGAGCTAAGATTTGATTCTCTGCTTATGTCAAAGGCTCTTCCATAATACCACACGGCCTCTTCAGTATCATGTCCAGTGAACCAAGTCTGTCTTTCCTAGCTGCAGTCTCTTAGCCTAGACTTTCCCTCCCTTTTTTCTCTGCCATGATTAGGCTCTTTGGACGCTTTCTTTGACCCTGTCACGCCCATCCCTAGTTCAGGCTATGCTGAGTTTCTTCCTCTGCAATCACCCAAGCCCCATACCTCTCCTGTATACCATACCTCTCATATTATGTCTCCCCACACCTCCCACTTACACCGAGGAGCACTATGATAAATTGGAAACCATCTAGGATCCAGAACCAGATAAACCTTGGTTTAAATTTTGACTCTATCACTTAATAGCTAGTTGTCTTTTGGTAGGCTTCAGCATCCTCATTTATGAAATTGGGTTTATCAGTACCTATTTTGTGAGTGGTTATAAGCATTCCTGAAAATGTATGTTATATCTGCCATATAGGAGACAACTCTGTAAGTGGCAGCAACCATTACAGTTACTACATTAATTACTTTATTCCTGTTACTTCCTCTAATAGCCTGTCCTTTTGGCAGAGACTGAGTCTATCTCCTTATCATAATGAAAGATCAGTAAATCTTAAATGAAGAAATGAATGAATGCATCTCATAGGTATTAGCATTTTGCAGTGCCAAGGTAGACATTGTGCTAACGCTTTTTATTGTTAACTTACTTTTCTATTTAGAAGTCTTGTTAGCTTGTCGTTTTTGTCAGCTTCTTATTTACTAAAGTCCATTTTAGCAGAATCTGGTAGCCCAGAGACCAAGAAACCTACATTTATGGATGAGGAAGTTCAAAGCATACTCACGAAAATGACAGGCTTGAACTTGCAGAAGACTTTTAAACCAGCTGTACAAGAACTGAAGCCACCAACCTATAAGCTAATGACTCAGGCACAGTTGGAAGAGGTACGTGAATGCAGGAATATTGTTAGAATACCTTTCTTTAAGGGGTTAAACAACATTTCTAGAGGCCCCTCCAGATGCTTATAGCTATTCTTCCATAGGCACTAGTGAAAGGTAGTACCAGGCATAGGACTGAGAAAAGAAATGTGAGTAGTCAGCCAGAGAGGGGCAGGGAGCATGGCTGGAATTGAGCAGACTAGGGCGTATGGATCAGGTCTGGGTATTCAGAGAGTATCCTCTGTCCTCTCAAGCCAGCCTGAGCACCCTTCCTTTGTCCTGCTTGCTCCAGCTTCCTTCCTGGAGAAACATCTACTGTGATCTGCCTTGGAACTGAAGCTTTGGGGATATTGTGAGATCCTGCATGGAAACAGGATGTTTTCCAGGCACCAGTGTCCTCCTCAGTACCATGGGTACTGCTTTGTGGAAAACACTTTGATGTATGAATATGTAAAGCATTAATACTCATCTTTCTGATTCAAAAGTAATTTATAGTCAGCAAAATATATCTGTCTCTCTCCAGTAGTAGATTACATGAAGAGTAAAAGTCCCGCTTTTCACCTCCTAGAGGTAACCGCTGTTAACAGTATGGCATGAAGCAGTGTAGTCAGTGGTTAAGAGAATGGGCTTTGAAGTTGGGTTGTCTAGGTTCAAATACCAGTGCTGCAATTTCCTGGCAATTTACTTAACATCTGTGTGCCTCTGGTTTTTCTTATGTAAAATGTAGATGATAACAATTGCACCTAACTCATAAGGTAATTGAGGCCATTAAATGAGCCAAATACATTGAGACTATTTGAACAATATCTGGCACATAGTAAGCACCCAAAAACTGCATTCTTTTATTCTGTTTCGAGCAGCTTTTGTAGCCTGGCTTTGCTCAAAGCATTCCTTTGTGGTTTTGATAATGGTTGAGCCTATAGCTGGTGGTCTCAGCCACATCGCAGAGGCAAAGGCCAGGGCTCACAAGTCCAGGTTTGGTGTTTTACTCACTGATTTGCGGCTACAGCTTCTTTTCTTTGAAGTTTTTTGCATTTTTTATTAGTATCTGCTTTTGTCAGATGATCCTTCTGTTATGTAACCTTGTGGCTTTCCTTAATAAATATTTTCTTTCATTAGGCTACAAGACAGGCAGTTGAGGCAGCTAAAGTACGATTAAAAATGCCACCGGTTCTGGAAGAGCGAGTACCAATAAATGATGTGTTAGCTGAAGATACGATTTTGGAAGGAACAGAAACAACCAAATATGTGTTTACTGATATATCATATAGCATACCACATCGGGTGAGTATATGTCTACTTGCAAAATGATCTTTGTTTGAAATACCATGTGGAGAAGGGCTTGAGAGATGATGTGACCTGGCTGTCTCTGATGCGTCCAAACCAGATTTCCTCTGACTGGGTGAGACCCTTCTGGAAGACACACTATAAGAGGCATGAGAAATGCAGACTAGCCCCATGTTATGATGCTACCATTTCTCAGCAGATAATAGGCACAATATTTTCCAGATTCCAGATGTGCTGAGGCAGAACAAGGGGTACACAGATACAGACAGAAACCCATCCCAAACCACAAATGGATAAAAATCTACAAGGCAGTGGAATCTGGAGACTCTTTTTGCCTAAGTTAGATGGATTTCTTTAGCTGAAGCTTTTTGAGAAGATAGAATGTTTCTGTCCTATAAATTCCTTGATGATGCCAAGAAACTCAATCATCCTAAAGGATTTTCACTTTCCAGAATTTTCAGTAAGAATGACAGATGTTTCTCAGATAATTTTCAGGCGTCACCACTTCTTCTGTTGTGATTGTTATTCTCTGGCTCCTCTTTCCTTGATTGCAAATTTAAAAGAACACTCTGGCATTTTAGAAATATATCAGTTTTGTATTTGAGCCTTTGCAAGTAAAGAATAAAAAGAGAGTAGTTTACAGTTCAGCCCACAGAATGCATTAGAACACTATAGAAGGCTGAGTTTGGGAGAAGGTCCACTCCATATTAATCTTTTATTATACATGATTATGGTTAGAAAATGATTTGAGCTGTGTTCAACACCAGCCATCTGTATACTTGACATAATGAACATGAGTCACAGAGTTTCAATTTTAATTACAGTTTTTGTTTTGTGATGCTTTAATATATGTTTGCAGTGCTATGAAGGCTGGTTGGGAAGCATTTTGTAACTTGAAAGGGAGAAAGGAACTTGGAATTCAGGTTTCTCAAATTACCAAAATCCTTCTGAGGAAAAATTGTATTACGTTGGCATGTGCTTTTTTTTTCTGATTGACTGTTGATGAAAGTTTTAATTATGTTATCTTGAGAACATATTTAGAGACTCCTACACCTCTGAAAAGTTGAGAGTCAGTATGGTTTGGTTAATTTATACATTAATCAGGTGTGTATCAATTATCAGCAGTGTGCGAAGCTCCATATATGCCACTCTGGGTATTGCAAAAAATTATAATACACATTTCCTGCCCTTTTCCAGTTATATTATAATATCTGAGGGGTGCCAAAAATCTTGCCCAGCATAAATTTCCAGTTGAATGGTATAAAAAGTAGGTAGAATTTAGAGGAGGAAGTGATCCCATGGCCTGGGACTTGGCAGTTGGAAGAGCGAAGTGACCAGACAAGTGGACCAGACAGCCTCTCAGACATGTTTACGTCTCATGCCAATATGAGAAATCATAGAAGTGTAGAAATAAGACTCCCCATTCTTGGGTTTTTTCCTTTTATCCCAAGGACTTTAAACATAGATCATAAAGTAGTAAAATCTGTTTAGATGAGATTTTGGGATAGAGAAATGAAAGTTTGGAAAGGTCATAGCACTTCTTTCCTCTAAAATGCATATAGATGAATCTCAGCTTAGCTTTTTTTGTATCGAACTCACGTTAGCACTATAGTTGGTACTTACTGAATACTTTCATTTTAGATTTCTGATTGTCAGATGCACAGCAGTGATTAGTGAAGGAAGTATCAAACCTTGCCAAGTCTTTGAGGTTTAAAATTATCATTGAACTCATATGCATGATTGCATTTTATATTGTTGATTGCAAATTATTCTTATAATGGCCTTAGTGGGACACAGGAACTAAAAATATGTCCTCACAAACGCATCCTTGATTATGTTTTTCTATTTTAGGAGCGTTTTATTGTCGTTAGAGAACCAAGTGGCACACTACGCAAAGCCTCTTGGGAAGAACGGGACCGGATGATACAAATTTATTTCCCAAAAGAAGGTCGTAAAGTTTTGACACCAATAATTTTCAAGGAAGAAAATCTTAGGGTAAGGTGACTTAGGTTTTATATTTTAGAGCCAGTGGCGGCGATTTATTTGTAGAACCAGTTGGCTTTGTGCCTTGATCCAGATAAACATTTCTAATGGTAACTTGACTTCTCTTTTTTTTTTTTTTTGAGACGGAGTTTCGCTCCTTTTGCCCAGGCTGCAGTGCAGTGGCGGGATCTCAGCTCACTGCAACCTCTGCCTTCCAGTCTCAAGCGATTCTCCTGCCTCAGCCTCCCGAGTAGCTGGAATTACAGGTGCCCGCCACCACATCCGGCTAATTTTTCTATTTTTAGTAGAGACGGGGTTTCACTATGTTGGCCAGGCTGGTCTCGAACTCCTGACCTCATGGTTCGCCCCCCCCTCCGCCTCCCAAAGTGCTGGGATTACAGGTGTGGGCCACCACACCCGGCTGACTTCTTTCTTAATAGAATCCTCCTTCCCACCTAAGATGGGTTGTACTAGGGTTCTCTCCTAATTGGCTTAGCTGGAATTTGAATCTAGGTGTGACAATTACAAAGCCTGTGTTATTTCTTTATGCTTCTTCATGAGCAGGGAGTGGCCAGTATGTGGGTGGGCAGGCCTGTCATGGCATCAGAACAGGTGCTGAACTTCAGTGTTCTCATGTGATGCTAACTCTGCTGTGTGGTTTTTAGACTATGTATAGTCAGGACAGGCATGTTGATGTCCTCAATCTCTGCTTTGCCCAGTTTGAGCCAGATTCCGCTGAGTATATCAAGGTGAGTATATTTTAGTTTCTAAAATGTAGGCTTAAGTATGGTTATGAGTCTGAGTTTTAATCTAGCTCAACGAATTTGGTTATAAGTTTTGATACAGGGGAAAGGGAAGAAAAATACCTGAAAATCTGTTGAGTACAGATGTGTGCCAGATATATATTTTATCATCACAACCACCCTTGATTAAAGATGAAGGAATTTAAGCTTGTAGAGTTAAGTAGCTTGCTGAAAGTTGCATAGCTACTAAGTGGTAGGGTAGTTTGATAACCCAAGTTTGATGACAAAGTCTATTCTCTTAAAAAGTTTACCATATAGGAATCAAATTATTTACTAAACTTTTGCCAAAGTACAGTGCGTTTGTCTTACAGCTCAGTAAGTATTCATTAGTACCTTCTATATGTAAGGTATTGTTTTGGGCGTATAGGTGATGCCACGAACTAGGATAGGGTATGCTGTGCCAAAGCCAGCAGTCCAGATATGGCTGTGGGCAAAGGTGCTAGTACGTATACAGATAATTATCTCCTCAGGCCTAAAATGGTAGACATTAAAAGATTACAAATTCTTTGAAGAAAGACTTCATAGGGGTGTTAAGGAGGGTTCTAGAAGTGCAGGAAATGTTGTGGCATGTATATGTAGGGGAGTGATTCAAGATTAAGCTAGGAAGGTGGATGCAGCCACATCATAGGTGACCTCAGATGCTAGGCTGAGGAATCTGGAATTCAGTCAGCAGACCTTTGAAAGCCTTTTGAACAGAGGAATGCCCCCATTAGAACCTTCATTTAAGAAGATCAATCTGGAAGGAGGACTGAAGGACTTAGTAAGATGGAATGGGCTAGCTGGTAGAAAAGGGTAGTTGATGGGAGGGATAGGGGAAAGGGAGAGTAGTGAAAAGATATTCTTGATTAATTTTCTCCAGTAGTGACCAAGAAGTAGGCGCTACATTATTTCCAGTGGTCTCTATATGCATAATTGGTGCTTAATAAATTACAGTTGGCCTGCCAAAAAGTAATTAATATGGCTATGTTTGGTATCTTGCTCCAGGCTGCCACATACTTCTACAGTAGAGAAGGCACAGACTTGCTGTCATTTAGACAAATTCTTTTTTATTTTTTTAAAGACAGGGTCTTATTCCATGGCCTACCATGCCCAACTAATTTTTTAAAACATTTTCCTAGAGATGAGGACTGCACAAGCAGTCCTCCCACCTCAGCCTCCCAAAGTGTTGGGATTACAGGCATGAGACACCGTGCCTGGCCAAAATTCTTTCTTAGTAGAATCCTCCTTCTCCCCTAAGGTGGGTTGTACTAGGAATGGTTTAAATTATACCTATTGGTTAATGATATGGAGGCAACTGTAAGTAGACGTGGTTTTACTTGCTTGGGCAGCACTCATGCTAATTAGTGTACGTTGAATAATGCTGCATACATCTTTTTATGTTCATGTTTCTGAAAAGTTGCATTTTATGTGGATAGGTTCATCACAAGACCTATGAAGATATAGATAAACATGGAAAATATGACCTTTTACGTTCAACAAGATACTTTGGTGGAATGGTGTGGTATTTTGTAAATAATAAAAAGATTGATGGTTTGCTGATTGACCAGATTCAGAGAGATTTGTAAGTATGATCTTAGTAAGTGAAAGAATCATTCTTATTGCCCTAACAGTTCATCTGTATTTAAGCTATGGTATTTTCCAATGATAACAGTGTACTGTCTAGTGCTTGCTTACCTCAGCTTATGGAGTTTTTCTTTTAGTATAATAACCTAGCTCTCCTAGTTTTTGCTTTTATATAAACAGTGCTAGACTCTTGAAAGAGTAAGTGGCTTTGGATCTGTACTGTAAACCCTCAATAATAACTTAACCTGAGGTCACCAATGCTCCTAGGTTGGTGAACTTTCCAGATTCTGAAAGGAGGATTAAATAGGAAATGTAAAGAAGTAGAAATAAGCTCTGTGGTTATTTTCTGATAGAACTATTTCTAGGGCTTTTCAGTAAACAAATCCTTTAACTTAGGAAAATACTTTTGATACCCTTGCTTTTACAAGATTTTTAAGGCATCAAAAAAGCTGCTTTTCAGAGTAGCGTGAAACAAAAAAATATCTGTTGTATTTTAGCGTAAGCTGGTGTGCTCCCAGGCTTCTAGCTGGAAATAATAATACAACTTGTAATAAAACTGAAGAGAAGATAGTTTTTGAGCATCTTTCTATCAGTTGATTTAGGAAGGCCAAAATGACAAGGAAGTAGCATGGCTGTAGTAAGAAAATCAACTTTCTACAAAAAGCCCTTGCTGGACTCAAAAGTCTGAACTACAAGACAGTTTTGAGATTACTGCCACCTTCAGACTGTTAGTTTTTGACTCCCAGAGTATCCTAACATGTAATACAAACCATATACACAAAGGTAAGGCATGTAGAACTGAAAGTTCCACAGAACTTATCTTCAGAATAAAATACAGCCCATACTTGGAAAAAGGGCATCATGTCTCATAGAAACAACATTCCTAATGATGATGATTTCCAGGCCAGCCCATTTCACCAGCATATGTAGTGCAATATAATCAGAGGGCAGAAATACACCTTCATACCCCATAACTGGGGCTGTGGTGATGGGGACGCTCAAGTGACTTGCCTTCATGTGCATTATCTCCTGTGAATGAATTTTCTACTTATAAAGTTTCTTGAGTTTAATCATTCTGAAGTTGTTTTATTATTAAAACAGTATGTTCTTATAAAAAATTAGAGCAATACAGAAATGTTTGAAAATTAAAGTTCTTTATTGGGGTGTATTAATAAATGATATTATAGTGTTACTCATCACATGTAAGCTTTACATCTGAAGCAATTCATGCTTACTGGGAGGGAAGTTTGGGTACTTAGCTTTTCCTGCTATTCCTAGGCAAAGGCCGTCCTGTGGTCCTGAACGGGTAAGTGAGCTTACTGCAAATCCCAGGCTGGACAGTAGAGGGTGCATATCCTCACTGAATGAAGCTCAGGCAAGAATTAGGATTCTGCACACATTTATTCCAGACTCAAGTTCCACTGTTAGTTTTTATATTGAGATTCTTTTAAAATCTTTTTGAAATATAATTTATTTGCTCTTGAAGTATGGGTAGGGTGTTAAGCTAAATTTAAATTGTTCTGTGAGGCACAGGCATTATACTTCAGCATGAATCTAATGAAGCCCTGAACATACCAACAGGTAGCAATCCAGTTAAGCTGTTTATAAGGCCACACGCCTAAGCTCCAAAGGGAATTTTAATTTTTTATTGGGGAGACATTTCATTGCTACATTTAGTAGACTTTGTTAGATTATAACAAGCACAATAGATTTGTAATGAATATTTTTTATTTCCCCCCCAAAAAAGCTTTACTATACCAACAGCTGTTTTCCCAAGAGATGGCCTTTAGGGTACATGAGCCTCAGGATAAGCCCAGAGCATTTCTCTAAGGCTTCCAAGGCTTGAGGAATTCTATACTTACTCCCACTGTCACCCTGCCCTTCATCCCCCAGCTCAGGTAAAGGGAACACAGGGAAGGCTGAAGAGTGCTAGCTGCGGAAGCACTGAATTAGGGTGTCCTCAGCCCTCCATTCCCAACTGGAAGCCAGTAGTTCACTTAGTGTATATAGCAGAGCCTCAAGAGCACAAGCATTTTGCATGTTATTTTTATATGCCCTCCAGTGATGAAATGGCAAATGGTGGGAAAGTGTCAGCAGTGTGAGAAGATAGTGATTGTTTGGTTTTGCTAGGAAAGTTTTAATGTTGATAAAAATTGTTTATACATTTCTGAGAAGTACAAACCAGAAGAACTGAATTCTTGTTCTGGCTTTTTCATAGGTAGTTGTGTGATGCTGAAGTTAGATTACTGATGTAGAACCCGATTTTCCTTTTTGTCTGATGTGTGTGTATGATTTCAAATTTGCTTCACTAGGATACTAGTTATTTTACTAATCCGTTCCTGTGAATAGTCTGGTGGCCTGAAAGTCTTTCCTTGGAACCTTAGGGGGGCTCTTGTAGAGGCATTTGTCTCTGTTAGCAGATGTCACTTAGGGGCAAGTGACTTTGAGCTCCCTGTGACCACCACCCTCCTGCTTATGTGGGATGAAGCTGTATTTCTGTCCTCTGAGTTGGGTTAGACTATTACATGCTGGTGAAGTGAGCTGGCGTGGAAATTATCTACCATTAGGAATGTTGTTTCTGTGAGAAATGATGCTCTTTTTCCAAAAAGGATATAGCCACATTTGGAATATATTCACTTTCATAAATTGGACACTTCCTGCAGTGACTCCTGCCCTACCTGCCTCACGGAGTTGGTGTGAGGCCTAAATTAGTCAATTTTCCTGAAAATGCTTTTGAAACTGTAAAAGTGAAGGTCCTTCCCCAATACCCCCAGCCTGAGGAAAGTCTGAAATGTAGTTTGAAGTTGGCACACACTTTTACAGGACTGTGAATCAAATGAAGAAAACCCCTAGATAACATTAAACCCTTTCGTTCTCAGAATCGATGATGCAACCAGCTTGGTCCAGCTGTATCACATACTCCATCCAGACGGCCAGTCGGCTCAAGAGGCCAAGGATCAGGCTGCTGAGGGAATAAATTTAATCAAGGTAAAGTTTTTTTTTTCCATATTGGTTGTTTTGTGGTAGTAATTGAGTTGGGAAAAATTCAGAATTGGGTCATAATTAATGGTAACTAAACAGATTTGTGAATATGGGACATCTGTGGTCTTGAAAACATCAGTATGATTTGTCCCCCTATTTCTTCAGCCTGGACAACAGAAACGGGAGGGGGTTAGAGTGCAGTAAAGTAGGTTGAGTGATGTGGTGCTAGCAGCTGGAGTCCAGAGAAGTTCCGACAGTGCAGGGAGCAGCCCCCTTGTTCTTTGGAGCATTGGAAGGGCTGAGCTGCATCTGAGGTGTTCAAGTCACCAGCACGACAGGGTAGAGGACTAAGTAGCACATGTCCCCCAGAGCAGCTTCCTGTCTTTGTGTGGTCACATCACATCGGGGGAAATGGGCATGTGTCAAGAAGTGGAGAGTGTGATGCTTGTATATCACCAAGCCTTAGTTGTCCTTCATTTTGGAGCTGCACACCTCTCAAAACCATGGGCTTATATACATTTATCTGTAAATGCTGAGAGTTGAGATGATTTTTTCAGGAAGGGAAGGGGAGGAGATTGTATAATTTCATCTCTTCTAATACCCAGAATATACGTGGTTTTGTGGAACTGGCTTCTATCTTGGTAATACTGTTTGCATGCTGCAAAACACTTGTAAGTTTTACTAAGGAAACAATGACCTGTGATGACATCCTAGGAAGAGTAGAGAGAAACCACAGTACTGATTTTCTTTATGAACCTGATAAAGCACAATGTTTTTGGAGAAAATATTCTTTAAAGTGAAAAATCAGTTTGGTAACTTTTAGCCTCCAGATTTCTCTCTAACCTAATGGTTTTTGATCTAGCAGGAAGTATTAATATTAATACAATGTCAGGGTCTTACTTGGATACTTCTGGTGTTTAGAATTAGTATTGCTTGAAATGTGTTGGGTATTGTTTTTCTGTCCATGTGTGTTTATTAGTGTATAATCGGGAAAAATTGTGAAATTTGAAAGACCTTTTTAAGTAGGACTCTTTGCTACTACAGAAATGCTAATGATGTCTCAAAATTGAAAAAGTTTATAAATAGCATATGTCCTATTGTTTTAAAACTTTACTTTTTAATTTAAACAGGTCTTTGCAAAAACAGAAGCACAGAAGGGAGCCTATATAGAACTAACACTGCAAACTTATCAAGAAGCACTCAGTCGCCATTCTGCAGCTTCCTAAAAATATTTTAAAAATACATTTATTTTACTAAATACTGACTACATTTCTCTGTTAATATTGAGCTAAACGTTAAAAAATGGCCAGATTAAAAGGTATCAATTTGTAGTTCTCCCTACAAAGCAAAAATTACTACCCTACTCACTTTCCTAGGCTACAAGGATTATTTGAGTGCCCAGTTACGAATTTTTTGAATCATGTTAGATGAGTGTACAGTTAAAAAGTTGTTTTTTTGTGTGTGTTACCAAATAGGGTAGATGGTAATTTGGACAGACCCCAGCTTAATGAGGTCAGAGGAACAGAGGTTTCACATCCTGACTCCAGAAATGGGTAGCTGCTAGATAAAATTGGGGCAAGACTTGTGGAATGATGCAATGAGGTCAAGAAAAAGGGTTTAGAGAATTACAGCATGGATATTCAGCTCTAAGAAAAATGTGATTGACAGCATTTGAAAATGCAGATTTAGTTATGCAAAGAAAAGAGAGTGGGGCTGATCCCTAGGCAAGGTGTAGTTGCGGCTCAGCCTTCTAAAACTAGAAGCCTATTTTCATTACTGAGAAAGGAAACAAAAGTATCTTCCATTAATTCAAAAGGTTTTATGAGATACGGTCTAATAGTATGAAAAAAATCAAAGCCCATGTCTGTTTTAGTTAACAAGGAAAACACAGTGATTTAAATGCTGCACATAAACTCTTCTTAAGATGATGTGGGCATTATGCTCCCAGTGGTCCACAGTATTTACATATAAAAATGTAAGAAATGTCTCATAGTCCAAAGCACTGTGGTCAGGGTAGCAATCAATACCTATATATAATAATGATCTGTTTAGTCAGGTAAATGGAAAGCATTACAGTCAGTCATCCAAAATATCTTCATCCAGATTGATATCTGTTGTGTCAATATCTTCTAATTCCAAATTATCCAAATCTACTTCTAGTTCGAGTAAACTCTGCAAACAAAAGAGGGTAATTAAGTTTTACAGTACTGTTAAAGGAAAGTTATCCGTGGGTTCATGATCCAAAGTGGGAACTAAAATTTTCTTAATAGTCAAGAAAAGCATCTTCCCAGTTCAAAGCCCCTGCTCTGAAACTTGATTCTGTCACTTAAACCACAGAGGCCTATGTATTCTCCACATATTGATGGGGAGGAGGATGGGGTAGAGGGAGGTTTGAGTATGATGTCTGACCTACCTTTTCTTCTTTGTTGGCCGTGTGGGAGGCCACAATAACTGGAGTAGGAGAAGCAGGTTTCCCATCAAGTTCCTGAAACCCCAAGTGAAGATATATGTGAAGACAAGGGAATTTACTCAGGAATTTAAAGTTTTCCCCCAAGAGAAGGATGATCAGAATTAGGAAGTGGGAGATGATGTTTAAAAGTGAACCATCTCAGCCAAATTTATCACATGAAGTCCTCTGCTGACCTGTTGAGCTGTAGATCTTGAGGGCTGAAAGCCTTTTGCCTCTTCCATGACATTTCTCTCTTCATTTGGCTATCGGAGAATAAAGCAATGATGAAATGAGATATTTTGAAATCATAATTTATCTATGAACTTGGCCTAAATCCCAGATATCAGCTCTTAATTTTAAAAAAAGTATTTACTGCAGTTCAAAATCTGAAGTCATGAATGTACTTCCACCCTGTAGTTACAATAAATGAAGCTTGACATCCTGGCCACTCACCGTGACAAGTGGGTACTGTTTGGCTGGCCACAGATCAGCATGTGTTTCCTTCACCCATTCTTCCACAACAAAGGCTTCTTTTAATCCAGGGAATAGGTTTTCATACTCTGTTGGATCAGCAAGGGATTCTGCTGCTTTCTGATTGACTTTTGAGAGATTCTCTCTCCAGAGTTTCACTACCCTATTATAGACATCATGGAACCGAACAGAGACTAAGTAAGTCTGCTGTCTTTTTATTGGAAACATTTCTTCCTAAAATTAAAAGTCTGTACCTTGAAACCTGACTGGGTAAGTAAGTTCGGGCCAGGAAGGCAGCTTCTGGCAGCCGTCCAGTTCTAATCAAGAGCTCTAGGCAGGCATCAACCCTAAACATTAAAAAGGAAAGTTACTGTTACCAAGAATAAACACTATAATGATGGCACTTAACATAAAGAAAGGAAATTTAGTGTTGCAAAGCCAAAAATCTCCCCAATTTTCACGCATACATCTCATTTCTGTCACTTGTCTTTTAATGGTTGTTACATAACACACTCCAAGGGTATGAGGGATAAGACAGCTTTCCTGACTACTTTGAATCTACTTAATTTTAATAATTCCTAAGAACCTAAAGGGGCTTTTCAAGAGGAGTTAAGGCAGGTTAGATTAGCAAATATTAAAGGCATAAGGATATATGCCAGCAGAAATTCAGTTCCACAAGACAAATATGTAGGGTAGTGTCTCCAACATGGGAAGGGCCAGACAAGCCAGTGGTGCCCAGCAGAATACCAAAGTCTTATTTTTTCTATTTTAATTTCATTTTTTTTCTGTGCAAGTTTTATGAAGTGGACAATGTGTTTCAGAATTCAGAACTTTTTGGATTTTCGAAAGGTGATACCGTATGTATACTATGTATTACCTCACATCCTCAGCATGAAAAAGCCACAAACAGTACTTATGCAGGAATGTTAAATGCAATAAAAATGTACCAAGTTGGTATAAAAGCAACTAAAAATAGGAAAACAGAGTTCAGCTCAGGTCTTGCCATCAAAACAGTTATAAAAAACTTTTCAGAATATTTTTGGATTTTTGAATTATGGATAAGGAATAGTGGGGTCTATTCTTACAGGCATATAAATTCATAAATACATTCACATACATACAATGGGGTGCACATTCAAAGTTCCATGGCGAAGTATGGGATTGTAAACAAATAATCAGTATGTAGGGGAAGGTTAAAGAATATTTTCAGGCCAGGTGCGGTGGCTCACACCTATAATCCCAGCACTTTGGGAGGACAAGGCAGGCAGATCACCTGAGGTCTGGAGTTTGAGACCAGCCTGGTTAACATGGTGAGACCCCGTCTCTATTAAAAATCCAAGCCGGGTGTGGTGGCACATGCTTGTAATCCCAGCTACTTGGGAGGCTGAGGCAGGAGAAGGGCTTGAACCAGGGAGACAAAGGCTGCAATTAGCCGAGATCATGCCACTGCACTCCAGCCTGGGCAACAGAGTGAGACTCCATCTCAAAAAAAAAAAAAAAAAGAAAAGAATACTTTTGTTTTTTATTTCATAATACTGCCAACTAATGTCCAAATAATTTGGTTTATGCTAACTCAGACTTAAAAATACGAGACATCTTCATGCTTTATAGTGTACTCAAATCTAAAAGTAGCTGGCATACTTATCCCCTTTTGTTCTTGCCATAAATGGATCAAAATTATCCAATTTGGGTAAAATCACCTGCCCTTCAGGTACCTACTACAGCAGCTCAATAGCCTGCTGCAATCATAAAATAAAATGCTTCCACCATTAACTGGCAGGACTATTGAGAAAGGTGTTTAACGTTTCTCCCACTTGAGCCTCCCTGAACAGCTCATTTAGCTCAAACATTTAGATCAGATGTGCTAAACGCATCTCTTGCTGAAGGTGAGTGCCACCAAGGCAGCACTGTCCTGCTCTGACTGCCCGGTCTATTCAACACCATTTAGCCATTCATCAGTTCTCTCTAGGGCTCATTCTTCACATGCCTCTCCAAAAACCATCCTCGGTGTAGAATTAATTAATCTTTTAAATTAATACTCACTTGCCCTGTAAAAAGTAGCTCATGAATGCCACATTATTTTTGCCATCTCTCTCCGCACCCTCTGCTAGCTTGTTCACCATATTAGCATTTCCAGAGGCAGTGGCCAAAAGCAGCAGGCCCCCATAATCCTGTGCATGGTGCAGGCACTCCTGGGCTAGGCCAAACTGACATTTACTAATGGCAAGTTCAGCAAGTTGTTTCCACTTCTGTTCTGACTGTAAGAAAAGAGTTTCCAAGTTAAAATATCTTTAGAAATAAGCATTTACATTTCCAACATTATTCTGTTAACTGTGTGGACAATGGAAGATACTTATATAGAGAGAGAGCTGTGCTTAAGTTGGCTCTATCAAAATAAGAATGGCTAAAATGTACAATTCAAGAAACGGAAATTATTCACATATACAAAATGAATTTAAACAAATCAGTTTTAATGATGTGTGAATAATTATAATCAACCCATTATATTTTATCTTATAATTACACAGGAAAAGTAAAACCATCTCACTGGAGTTTTAAGGTAATTAGACTGCAATTATTTTAACAAGTGATTTAATACCGCTTTTTTGAAAGCATACAGAACTGTTTATGTCTTTAAATATTTCCAATAATATTATGTCTCACTTGTAGCTTTTCAAAACTCAAAATGCTGCATGTTTAGATGATCTTAACATAGCTAAAATTTATTTTGCACATCCGAAATTAATTTACCAATAAATGCTAGTCTTAAATCACAATTGGGAGCCTCAATATACAAAGATCTATAAAAATATCATTACAAAAATGGTATTAACATTTCTCCCACTTGAGCCTCCCTGAACAGCTCATTTAGCTCAAACATTTAGACCAGATGTGCTAAGAGCATCTGCTGCTCAAGGTGAGAGCCACCAAGGCAGCACTGTCCTTCTCTGACTGCCTGCTCTATTCAATACCAAAAGACAAACGGGTTGGGCTGTCTTTCAAAACCCCTTTTCAAAACCAACGTATTTTTAGCTAGTTTCAGACTCTGGCAAATGACTGCTATGTCTGTACTCTTAGGCTTTCCAGACTAGTTTACATACTGTTTTACATCTTACCTTGCAAAATATATCTCACTTAAGATATGAAAACAATTTTTCTTAAACAGAGTGCTAAGAATATCTCCAATGTAATCAATTTATGCAAAGTTTAACATAATACATCTTTTAAAAATATCAGAGACAATAACTTCACCAAAATGAGCCACTAATTTGCATTTGGGAAAACTTTAATAACAAAACATTATACCAAACACATAGAAGTACCTACTGACTTTTCCATCAGTTATGAAAAATCATGAATTAGTACATACCTCTGCTTCCACTGCTAACTGGTATGCAATTTTTAACTCTCCAAGTTGAAG